CAAATGCACACTGTTGATTGGCATGGGGCAAGGCACACCGAACCTGGACCGTCGATCAGTGAAAATCGGTCCTGTGGAGCAACAGTCATGCTACACACTCTTCCAGTCTGATGGATGTGTTTGGGTATGAATGATGTCTGGAGAACTCTTATTACCTAAGTATGTTGTCCCAACAGTGAAGTTTGGTCTGGGAGTGCTTCTCATGTATGGACTAGGTCCACTGGTCGCAGTGCATGGATCCATGAATGCTGAGTCCTACATTGAACAATTCTGTGTGTCCTACACTGTGGCAATATTATGATACTGGCCCTTACATCTTCTAACATGATAACACTCCATGTTTCAAAGCCAGAATTGTGAATGCGTGGTTTGAGGAGAATATCATTGGAACATTGCAATGTCCAGCACAGAGCCCCAACCTCAACCCATAAGAACATCTTTGGGATGAACTGGAATGCATAATTAGGGCAAGGCCAAGATAGTCCACTTTAGTAATGGAGCTTACTAATGCTTTAAAGGAGGAGTGGAGCACAATACCACCAGCTTTCTACCACAAATTAGTAGACAGTCTTCCTTGATGCATTGAAGCAGTCATTAAGGCCAACACCCTAATAATTTCTTGGAATAAAGACATGTTTTATTCATAACTACCTGTGTCCCATGACTTTTGGTAGGACTGTTTTCTAAATCTCTATTTTTCCTCAATTCATAACTTATTTTAATCACCAGAGCTTATCATTCCTTGAGTTTCCACTTCTGTACTGGAAAAAAAAAACTCCATTTTTGTTACATTTCTCTCTCCTTACTACAGCCATACATCTTAACCACAGGTTCTTTAGAACCTTTGTTTTTCTTTAAGTTTCTGCTACTGAAAATATCTTACATAAATTTATCATTGTATTTTCTACTGTGATTTTCTCAAATAAGAAAAAACTTAGTTTTAGCTTCTCTTTTACTTTGCCTCTCTATGTAATTATAACAAAAGAATAGATTAGATAAAAGTGTTATCTGGTATACTGTTTAAAATGTTGATGAAACTAAAGTTTTGGATATGTTGGCTATGAAGAGGGTACTAACTGCTTTAGAAAATAATTTGGATTAGTTGGTGAGTTAGGTGAACAAATGACAGATAACTTTCAATTATAATAAACACAAAATAATGCCTATAAGATATCATAATTTGAATTATGAGTATAATTATTGATGAGATTAACCTTTGTTATGGAAGATAAAGATTTTGCTAGTCTGGTTGATAAGTCTCTTAAGCCATCCATGCAATGTGCTGTTGCTAGTTCAGGGCAAGTAGAATTTTAGGTTGTATCTACAGAAATACTGAATGTAAGGCTAAGGAAGTTCTAATGTCATTGTATAGGTTATTGGTTAGAACACATTTGGAGTATTGTGTTCAGTCTTGGGCTTCTTATCTTAGAAAGGACATTGAATGGTTGGAAATAGTTTAGAGAAGGGCTACTAAGATGATATCTTGGATGAAAAGGTTGTCATACGAGGACAGATTAATATCTTTCAAATTGTTTTCTTTTGAAAGAAGAAGAGGTACAGGGGATCTGATTGAGGTCTTTAAGATTGTTAACGGAATTGATAGTGTTGAGGGGATCTGATTGAGGTGTTTAAGATTGTTAACGGAATTGATAATGTTAAGGGGATCTGATTGAGGTGTTTAAGATTGTTAATGGAATTGATAGTGTTAAGGGATCTGATTGAGGCGTTTCGAGTATTGTTAAGGAATTGATAGTGTTAAGGG